AAAGATGCAAAACTGCTGTGAGGTTCATTCCTTTGCAGATCAGGAAAATTAATCTTCCTCCTTTCCTTCTTTCAGTGACTAATTTCTGTTACTGTAACAAGGAGTAAAAAAGTTGATCTCCACCAAAACTTAAATATTCACTTCCTCTTCTCCACCCACTCTGTTCACTTGATAAAGCACTTCCCTCTCCATTCCAGCTCCGGCAAGAAAGCTCACAACAATATTACAGCAAACACTCTAAAAAAAGTTTTTTCTGTCAATTAGATGTTTATAATCACACTCTGCATCACCCTCCCCAGAGAATGAGTCAGGGCTCCCAGGAGAGCACGATCCCAGAAGGAAGGAAAATGATGTAACACCAGGACTTTGCAAAAGTTTTTATCCAGACAGAGCAGCTCTCCCATCCTGGATCCCCTCTGGATTTTAGGCTCTCACAGCCTGGATCCCCTCTGGATTTCAGGTTCTCCCACTCTTGAACCCCTCTGGGTTCCAGCTCTCCCACCCTGGATCCCCTCTGGATTTCAGGCTCTCACAGCCTGGGATCCCCTCTGCATTTCCAGCCCTCCCAACCTGGATCTTCTCTGGATTCCAACCCTCCCAGCAAAGGTTTTTATCCAGACAGAGCAGCCTGTATCCCCTCTGGATTCCAGCTCTCCCATCCTGGATCCCCAATGGATTTCCAGCCCTCTCAACCTGGATTTCCTCTGCATTTCATGTTCTTCCACCCTGGATCCCCTCTGCATTTGCAGCCCTCCCATCCTGGCTCTCCTCTGGGTTCCAGCCTTGTGGTGGCCACTGCTTTGATCCCAGCACAGGCACAAGGATTTGAGGAAGTTTGGCAGCAGGGAAGGTGCAGGAGCCAGGACTGTGTAAGCAAAGCCCTGGCAGAGGCACCAAAACCTTCCAGGGACAGGGAATTGTCTCTGCCACCCTTCAGCTCGCCCAGGTGAGCTGCTCTGGACAGGTACCTGCCCCTTGCTGCAGCACTGAAACCCCAGGGACAGCAAGGAGAGGAAATCCTGCCCCCATTCAGCCTCAGGTGACATTCCCAGACCCTCAGCCTGCTCAGAAAGGGATCTCAGAGTTTTCAGGACAGCTTGAAATGTTTATTCAGGGTTTAGAAATATAGGAATGGAGGGATTTCTGAGGGGGATGAGTGGGATTCTTGCTCTCTCACATTTTTTTGTGGATTTTCATGGTGTAGGAGAGGGAAAAATCTCTCAGCAGGCTCCTTGCACAGACACATTGTGCACAGGTAGAGGTCACACAGGTGCTCATGCACACTCAGATCCAACAAATTGTGAATATTTCTGTTTGCTCCTCAGCCCACACTCACCCAATCGTCCCAACAAACCCTGAGCAGAGTTTTCAAAACTTTTATTCCATTTTCAGTCTCGTATGAAAGGTGAGACAACACAGATGTTATAATTCACTCCATCACAATCAGAAGCCAATTATTTCTTAATTACTATACACTAAAAGTGTTTCTTGGCCTATCAGCTTTAGTCACCCCATACTGCAAATGCTTTAAATCCAATAATCCAAAATGATTGGTGTAGGTCTTACTACAATGCACCTTTCACAGTTCTATTTCTCTAAACTATTTAATCTTATTTGTAAGGCCATCCTCTGAAACTTGCTTCTAGTTTCATTTCTCTCTCACCAATGCTTCTCCTATTCCATGGCATTTCTAAGTCAGCATTTCTTATCTCAAAGTTCATATACAGATGCACAGGGTGTGAGCCTCCTGTCAAGCTTTAAAAATTTCCTACAATTCCATTTTCCACATTCTCCCTGCAATTCCATTTCCCACATTCTCCCTGCAATCCCATTTCCCACATTCTCCCTACAATCCCATTTCCCACATTCTCTACAGGTTCTCACCCTGACCCGCGGTATTTAGAGCCTGGCTCAGCCCTGCAATTACCCAGCTCAGCACCCTCCCTAAACATGGGCTCCAACAAGCTCTGCCTCTCTTTAATATTCAAATTAACGCGAATTCCAGCCACTCAAACCGTGTTTCCAAACAACAACCATCGGGCTGCCAGGTTACACTCAAAACTGAACCATGAGCAGGTTATTCCCACCCGGGGCGTTTAGTTGCTTCAGAGCTCTCTAAGGCAACAGAATTTCTGTTTGTGTGAATAAACACAGGGAAAAAGTAATTAAGGAAGTGAGAAATGGGTTTTACCTGAATGTCCTGCTGAGGTTTCAAAGGATCTCTGCTTCACTCCCTCCTTTCTCTGGCTCTGTCTCTCTCTCCTTGCATGGCTGGACTGACAGGTTGGCAGGGCTGAGAACGACAGGTTGGGTTTGTTTTTTTAGACACAACTCCTCCCCTTCTCAAAGAAAAGGAAAAAAAAAAAAAAAAGAAGAAAAAAGAAGGCAAGACTGTTTGGGAAAAGTTCACATAAAATCCTGTCCTTTCAGCACATTGGAGCTGGTGAGAAAAACGCTGCTTTGGGGAGCCCAGGAGTTTTCCAAGGGTTTTTCTCAAAAAGGTTCAAGGTTTGCTTTGCAAGAAGTGTGAAGCAGCCAAAGGATTTACACCAGAGCAGACCTGACCCCAAACCTTCCCTGAGAGCTGATCCTGAGGCAATTCCAGCCCTGACAAGAGGAAACGCTGGAAAGGGGCCTTGGATTTTATCCTTGCATCCCAGCACCATTATTTCTGGGGAATAAATGTCACCCAGAGGTGTCTAAAAACCTGATTTTTTTCCCTCAGAACCCAGTGCTGCTAAGCTGCCCTCACTGCAGGTTATTTTAAATTCCTGCTTTGCTCTGTATTGGTTGCACAAAGACCAGCTCAGCTTCTGTCCCTGTCCCCTGAGAGGGTCCCAGAGAGCTGGGGGAGGATTTTACCCAGTTTTTACTCAGGTTTTTCACAGTGACCACAAAATGGGTTGGTGTGAAAAGCTTCCACTTCCACAGGCCTTTCCAGGAGTCCTGGTCAGGTGGGCAAAACTCATCCCTGAGAATGCTCTACTACAATTCTTTTAAAACCAAGATGCAGACACTGATTTGACACCAGGTTTATCAATAAATTCTTAATTAGAGATGTGACAAACTAATTCAGAGCTGCCTGTGCCCTGCTGGCCATGGAGTTTTGCTCCTGGCAACCCATGGCACGGTTTTCTGCTAATAAATGCCAGAACAGAGCAGCCAAGGGGTTGGTGAAACAACTTCCACCCTCCCACTCCCCTGCAATCTCCAAAAGAATGGACAATCAGCCTCCTTGGGTCTGTAAAGCTTTTTTAAGTTGGCACTTTGGGCACAAATCTGCAATTTCCAGGCCTGTTCTCTGCAGAGTCACTGCCTCTTCCTTACCCAGCAAGCAGAAAAACAAACGGGCAGTAGACTAATGACTGTCATCTGCATAAATTTGCATCACAGACTCCTTGAGTAGAGCCCCATCTCCTCTGGGTCAGATTGGCACCTGAGCTGGAACATGGAGGGTTCAGAGGCTTCCTTTACCTGCCTCATGGTGTCACAGCTCTGCAGAGCCAAAAAGTTCCAAAATTTGGAAAAAATCCCCAGGCGGTTTAATTTCACATTGTAACGAGCTAGATTAGAGGTGAAACCAGCACATCTCAGGATGCCTTGTGAGGGCTGAGCTGGAGCAGAGGCTGGGCAGAGTTACAGAATAAAGCAGGGATTTATTCAAAGCATCTCCTCCATGGATCCACCTTGGGCAGCACAAGAGCCCAGCCAGGGCTGCACCCAAGATGAACCAAAATGGCCCCAAAATGCACGGCCGGGCACGGGGTCTCTCCCTGGGATCAGTTCTGCTCCATTTGCACCTTGCAGTTCATTGTCCCATCCCAGCTTTAGCCCATCCAGTCCCACCCTGCTTGTTTTTCTCTCTCCAGCCCATGGTGTTTGTGCTCCTGGGCTGAGATTTGGATCATTTGTCCTTGGTGCCCAGCTGGAGCAGGAATTGTTTTGTCTCCCTGCTCTGTGCACAGAGCTCAGCATCCCCTGGTGTGAGCCCAGCCCCACACACTAAAGCAGCACAGAACCTGAAATACAGAAAAGCTCAAACCTGGGGCATCGCTCACACAGAGTCAGTGTGACATCACACCCAAAAATGTCTCCTTGCAAGCTCAGCTCTATCTCCTGCACCAAGGAGAGCCACATCCATGGACTCCATCAATTCCATCTCTTCCAGGCCTTCTTTCCATCCCTCCTGCATTCACACCCTGCCTCTCTCATCAGGAACTGCTCCCAGCCGTGCTCAGCTCCCCTCTGAGGATGGACACAGAGATAACACAAACAGCTCAGCAATCCCTGCTGCCAGCAGAACCAGTTCCTCGAATCCAGACAAAACCAAACCGGGCAAAGTTCAGAGCTCAGGGGTGGTGCTGGAGCCACCACTGCCTGTGAGGGAGGAGAGGAGCTGCTCTTCAGGTCTCAGCACGGTCACACACGGCAGCTTTCTGCATTTCCAGCCTGAATTCCCAGTGCAGATGGATGGGGATAAGAATTTAGCGGCATTCAGCACATGCCAGTGCTGTATCAAAGGAGATTTCCCAGCAGAGATCCAACTGTAGCTCCCCTGGGCACTGATTTGGGTTTTTCTCAGTCCTCCCTCCTCAGAATTATGAGGTTGGAGATCCAAACTCTTCAAAAGATTTGCAGCTTGAAGAGTCTTAAAATCTTTTAGCAAAGGGGTTTATTCTCTTTATTGATTGCCCTGGCACCAAGAAATCACCAAAAACGTGCCCAGCACGATGCTCTTGCTTTACCTCTGGTATTTCCATCCCTCATGGCACTCCTGGAGGGAGAGAGAAGCTGGACAGCATCACCAGGAGAGGGAAATCTCCAATTTCCAGCTTCCATCCCAATCCCAGCCCATGCCTGGAGTGTGACAGGTTCCTTTCTGCTAAGGGTGAATTAAAGCCAAGGGCCCTCATTTCTCAGCAAACACAGTTGCTAGAAGAGCTTTAAAGCAGTCAATAAATGCACTTCAATTAAGCACTGCAGGGAGGTCGGATTTCTTGTTTTTCCTGTTTCACCAGCAAGTTTCAAGACAGCCTCATAATGAACCCTGGGAGCACAGCTTGTTACAGCATCAGAGAAATTGCAAAATTACAGCAAACTTTGGGTTGTTATGTTCTCTGGTGTTGTTGGGTTCCCAGGGTGAGGTCAGAGATGAGAATCTAAGATTTCAGAAGGATGATTTATTATTATATTGTATTGTGTTATATTATATTGTATTGTGTTATATTATACTGTATTATATTATATATTATATTGTGTTGTATTATATTATATTGTATTGTGTTATATTATATTGTGTTATGTTATGTTATGTTATGTTATGTTATGTTATGTTATGTTATGTTATATTATATTATATTATATTATATTATATTATATTATATTATATTATATTATATTATATTATATTATATGTTGCATTGCATTATATTATATTATATTGTATGTTGCATTGCATTGTATTATATTATATTATATACTAAAACTACACTAAACTATAGAGAAAGGATACAGACAGAAGGCTAAAAAAGAAGAAAATAAAAACCCGTGGCAGACTCACAGAGTCTGACACAGCTGGACTAGGATTGGTCATTAATTAAAAATAATTCACATAGAACTAGTTAAGGATGCACCTGTTGGTGAGCAACCTCCAGCCCACATTCCAAGCAATCAGATAATTATTGTTTACATTTCTTTTCTGAGGCTTCTCAGCTTCTCAGGAGAAAAATCCTGGCAAAGGGATTTTTCAGAAAATATCATAGTAGCAAAGTTCTGGTAGCTGCACTTGCTAAAGGAAAAAAAATATCAAAGAGGAAGGAACATGTCTCAAAATGCAGGAATTTCATCCCAAACGCCTTGGTGCAGTGACAGGACTCCCATGGTTTCAGAGGGCTGGGGATCAATACTAATGTGTGGAAAATTAAATGACTCAAACTGCTGTCTGCAAACAGACGGCGGTGGAAAAGTGGTGAAACAAATCTTCCCTTGTGAGGAAGACACCTAGCAGAGTCATGACCTCCCTGAAGAAACAGAGATAAACAAAGCAGCTAAAAGCTGGAAAAATCCTCAGACAGAAAATAAAATCAAGGAAAAAAAAGGAAAAAACGTCAAAAATCCCTAGAGACTAAAAAAAAAAAGTCCCTAGTAAAACCAAAACCAAAACCAAAAGTCAATCACAGAACATAGGAGCTGAAGAAGAGAAACCAACAACAAAAGTCAAATACACCTCAGAGTTAATCAAATATAGTCATAAGAAAAGTAATATCCAGACCACAAAGAGACACCTTAGATCTCACTGATCAAGAATATCCCATGACTGCCCCAAAAGACCAACTAAAAAATCTTTTACACTAAGAACTCAAACAATTTCCAAATACAGAGCCAAGGACTCTTTTCAATCCCTTTCTCTGAGACTCTGTGATTCTAAGATTATTTTATATATATATATATATAGATATGTAGATATCTATGCATACATATATATGTATATATATATAGATATATACCTCTCTATATACATGATATATATGTGTGTGTGTATATTTATCTATATCTATCTATGTACATACATTTAGATATATGTATATGTATAAGCAATTTCCAAATACAGAGCCAAGGACTCTTTTCAATCTAAGTTTATTTTATATATATATTTTTTACATATATCTATATCTATATCTATATCTATATCTATATCTATATCTATATCTATATCTATATCTATGTATGGACTGAACCCTCTGGTGTTTGTGGATTAATTTTCCTGACACTCAGATAAATCCCATGTTCCAAGGGGATCTGTGTTCCCTCATTCCCTCCCTCAATGCCTGCACACATCCCTTGTCTCCACAGGTTCCTTGGGCTGCTCCAGGCACTGGAGCCATCTGTGCATTACAAAGGGAGAAAGGGGAAAAAACCACAATTAATTCCCCAAATTTTATCCTTTAGAGTGTGGATCCCTCAGCCCACCCTGCAGTGGCCGCTGATCCCAGCCCATCACCTCAAACCCCAGCAAACACCTGCAGAACCCTTTCTGTCACCTGGCTGAGGCTGTTGCTCTGAATTTCCGCCCATTCCAATCCCAAACTCTCTTTTAATCCCATAAAATCTGCAGGTGCTGAGTGTTGGAGTGGGCAGGGAGAGCTCCCTGCAGAGAACAGCAGCTCATAGAGTGGTGGTACCACACAAATTAGCACAAAATCCCATTTTTGGGGGGCCTGGGGGTGTCACAGAGCCTCTGGCACATCGGAGAGGTTGTTCAGGGTGTTGGGAATGACAGGAGGGCTCCAGTCCCTTTCCATGTGCACAGGGACTG